TCAGCAACGTTGTGCTGGAAGAGCTGGCGGCAGGGGTGCAGGTACTGGAAGAAGAGGAGCATGAAGTAGATGCCCAGGCAGTAGCCGAGGAGCAGCTGCAGCACCAGCAGCGGGGTGCAGATGTTCTCATAGACGTCTGTCTTGAAGAAGTACCAGAGGATGACGAGGGCCGTGTTCTCCGCCAGCCGGGCCACGTAGTAGATGGCCAGGCGGCCCCAGTTCTGCGACTTGTCAATGAGGTCCCGGTCGGCCAGCTTGAGCTGCACGGCCGACCAGCAGAACATGTTGATGCTGGCGTAGAGGAGGGTGAAGGCGCAGAGCACCACCACTGTGCCCACCCGGCTGAAGTTCTTCTCGATGTTGTCGGGCAAGCGGGTGCCGCTCCGCCAGAACTGCACCCAGGGCAAAAAGAAGACCACCAGCAGGTTGGCCAGGGCAATGGGGATGATCCAGTGCTTGAAGACGGTGCTGAAGAGCACGAGGACGGCCACGCGGGTGGAGATCTCCAGGCTCCGCCACAGGACGATGCAGAGGAAGGCCAGTGGCCGCAGTTGGACCTTGTAGTCATCATACTTGACCTGGATGGCCAGGATATTGCAGACGAGTGCCCCGTAGGTGACCGACACCAGGCAGATGCCCATGAGGATGGCTGCAGAAGGGAGAGAGCAGGGGAGTCAGGTAGTGCCGGGGACCGGGCTGCGTGCCCGGCCTCTCTGCTGCCCTGGGTGCGAAGCGCGGGGTGCCAACCCTGGGTCACAAACTGCAGGGTGCCAAGCACCAAGGCTGGCAGCAGGAGGCTCAGCGTGAGCGTTGCTGGGACAGCTCGTGGCTGGTGGTGACAGACCCTGAGACGGCATGGCTGGGGGGAGCACTGCTCCCAGGTTTTCTCCCTACAGCAATAAGCCAGAAGCCTTTGCCAAACTGGGGCTGTTCCTGTGCTGGAACCAGGCACCGACCCCCCTGCCCTGTGCACGAAATGCTGCCTAAGGGCAGTGGGGCACGGTCTGTGTTGCAAGCGTCCCTCTCTCCTCACGTGGGCCAAAAGCCACACCATTGTAGCCCACCATTCACCCTGGGAGCATCTCAAGAGCCACCCCTGCCTGGGGGCTGCAAAGCCAAGGTCATTCGTAGGGAACACCGGGGGCTGCTCGCATTCAGCGCAGCAAGGAAAACGGCGATGGAGACAAAGGGAAGCATGCGGCTGGTCCCAGTTTGTGCCACACTGGTGGCAGTGGCTGCAAGCTGTGGGGCTGAGCTGAGACACCCGAGCTGTGAGGGAATCACCCAAAATGTGTCAGCTGGGATTTGCTTCCTGCATCCATGTCTGGAGGAGCATCAGGCTCATCCTCCTGCCTCTGTTATTCCTACTCCCCAAAATGCCCTTGCAGGGGCCATGGCCCAGGAGCGGGTTTCTACAGGGCATCTCCCGTGTTCCCCTTCCCATGCGCCTGCCGTGGGCGCAGCGGGCTCCCAGCACAGTGGGAGAGGGTCAGCGAGGGCAGCTCCTTCACCAGGCGCTGCAATCAGAAAGGTGTGAGAGCGCTCCTGCGAGCCTGAGACGCGGGCTTGCTCCCGCACACCCAGCCCCTGAGCACATGAACACCCTGGGAGCAGGCAAGGGAGCCTGGGAGCGGGAGCGCTGGGCTGGGAGCTCCGGCTGTTGGGTAAGGCACGGAAATAGATACGACAGAGGCAGTGTGGGGAAGCCAGAGCCCGCAGCTAGCCTGAAAAACCCAGTAACTAATGCAGACTGGAGCAGCCTGGGGCAGGGGCACGGCATCTTTATGGGACAGGGCACAGGGCTCCATAGGGTCTGCAAGCACCGGGGCTGGGAGCAGAGCCCGGCGCCTCGGTCGCAGGCAGCTCTTCCCACTCTCCCAGCCTCACTCCAAGCTGGAAAGCAGAGCGCTGGGCATGGGAAAAGCAAACCAGGCTCAGACAAGTGCCTAACCTCTGGGGGTTGCGCTCCATGTTTAGGGAAGTCTGGCGGCAGCCATGCCCCTGGCCACCCCCCAGAGGGTTGTTTGGATGTCACATGGGCACACAGGGCCAAGGAGCTGCCGCTGCGCCCTGGTGGGCTCCCCCGGGGAGCCCGGTGCCAGGCACCCTTACCTCGGGCGGCGGGGACGTACTTCTCCAGGATGCTGATGTAGAGCTGGAGGGTGAGCTGCGGGGTGGAGCCCAGGAAGGCCTGGATGACCGCCATGCGCTTGAAGGCGTTGCGGTGCGTGGTCAGCCGGCGCACCGAGTGGCCCACCTCCTGCTCCATCTCCACCTCGTAGCCTTTCCGCAGCCGCCGCTTGCCCCCACCCCGCCAGCCTCCCCGCTGCCCCCCGGCCCCGCTCCCTGCACCTCCAGCCCCCCTCGTCTGGTGCCGGCCGGACCCTGCTCCCGCCAGGCACAGCCCAAACGATTTGGGGAACTGTTCAGCAGCGCCGTGGGCAGTCCCTGGTCCTTGGAGGGCAGGATGAGGGCAGGATCCTGGGATGTCAAGATGAGGGCAGGGTCACACCAGGCCCATGGGGATCCTCGGTGGCCGCTCCTCCACGCCAGCACTCAGGGTGAAGCGTGCAGGGCAAGGGGACAACAACTGCCCCAGCGAGGGGTGCTACAACTGCTGCAAGAGGTGCAGCATCCAGGGTACGGAAACTTCAGCTCTGCTGGGAGTTAGAGCTACAGGAAGGGGTTAATCACCCTCAGGCTCTGTTTTCCCCACTGGCACAAAATGCATCTCTTCCTCTATGCAAGAGAAACTTTCTGATATTGTCTTTGATCTCTCCGCTTGAGCAGAAGTCTTCTACGCTTCCTTCTTGGTGGGAACAGCAGGAAGGGGCGCGCAGGGTGAAGCTGGGTGTGACATGGGCAGATAAGACAGCGCTTCCGCAGCCCCACAGCGGGACCCCCAGCCCCTCCCCTGCAGCCACGCAGGGGGGGTGCGCAGGCTGAGGCCATCAGCGGAGGAGGACCCATCCGAAAGGCTTGGCTCCTGCCCCGGGACGAGCTGGCTCTGGGACCAACAGGACATAATTATTTATGAGCGTTCATTAGGACGGCAGAAGTTGCTCTGTTTCAGACGCAAATGGAATGAGGTTTTTGGATAAACACTCTTGCCAGGTCAGGCCAGTGCTCATGGCTCATTGCAAACTCTAACGGGAAAACAGGTTCATCCAAAAGGCCCAGCTTCAAGAGTAGTCCCAGCTGGCTGCCGGTGCCCTGCCAGACCTTCTCAACAGGCTGGGCTCCATCCCCAGCCCGAGGTGCTGACTGAAGCAGGCCCCCCCCGAGCAGCTCTGGCTGGCACTTGCAAGCAGCCAAGCACCATCATAACCATCTCAGCCAGCCGTGGTCGGTGCGGTGAGAGCTGCGACACCACCGTGGGCTAGCGTGGGCTGAGGCGGACCCACAGCCCCTGCAACGGCTGGCGGCGCTGAGCTGAGCCTCCCCGGCCGCCTCTGATGATGAGCCGTGGTGACGAGGATGCCCCCGGCACCCTGCTTGTTTCCGGTGATGGAGGAAGCGCAGTGCAGGCCGCAGTGTTTTTGCAGGTTTCTGTGGGTACGGCGCACCCCAAAGCACAGCTGCTGGTGTGCCCTCGAGGAAGGAGCCCCACGGAGATGGTGGCTCTGCCGTGCCGCTCGCTGCACCCCCTGTGCATTCTCGACGAGCAGGATGGCCGGGGTGACGGCAGCTCGGGGAGGCACCGCAGCATTCCCAAGGAGTGAGAGATCAGCACCTCTCCAGCTTGTGCAACATCCACCCCCTCGCCCTCTCCTCCCTGGCAGGGTCCGGCGGCCCTCCCAGCGCCCACACCAGCCCCGCTCCTGCACCCAGCTCCTCTCCTCCATGTCCCACAACCCCTCCACCTCATCCCAGGCCAGGGACCTTTTCCAGGGGGCAGAACCCCTGTTCCTATTCACCCTCAAGCAGCCCAGCCAGGATTTGCCTCTGTGCTCCCAGGCTAAGCAAGACGACGGCAAAACCCAGAGGCAGAGGGAAACGCTGGCTGCAGAAGGCACCCATGCGAAGAACCGTTTCGGCAGCCGAGATGCAACAGGCTGGCAGAGCGAGTCCTGCCCAGAGCAGGGCTCCAGCAGGCAGGAGAGCAGGCAGCAGCCCCCGGCAGGACCGCGGCACTGCTGGCGAGGGGTGGCCGAGCAGAAGAGCCCGGGGGGCCGGGAGCGGCCGGGGCCCGGGG